AGCTAAGGAGTTGCAATCCCAGTCTTTGGATTATAGGTGCTCCCTTAGAGACAAGCCAAGGTCACCACAACTTGATGCAATCACAGCTCTATGGAAAATAAAGGTATCTTTGGCACATGCATATGCTTCACTCAAAGATGAATATCTAGCTTTCTCGAGCAATCTATCTATATGCATGTCGTGTGATGGAACATGGATGAGGTTTTGACCCCCGTCTCTGTAGGCCTACCATCATACACAAGGGTCACACAGTCCCTCGGCTCACTCATCTAGGCATAAGCTCCGACCTCATCTAGGGCTAACCCAAAAACCCTTCTTGTTTTATTTTTTTATGCCCAGGTACCTTGGGTTTTCCAACCGACGGACATAGATCGCAAGCACAATCTGGTATTCGAAAATATCATTTGCTTAGTATGGTCTTCGAGGGACCACACTCCTACTAAGTTTATGTTCCATTATAATAAATGTTTTTCATTACACACTCATAAGGCCTTTAAAGGCCACATAAACCCAACAGTATAGTATTTCAGTCCTGCAAATATCTCAATTCTTTTTATTTTTCTGATTTTCTAAATAAAATAAAAAGAAAAGCCCCAGAGATGGAGATTCAAGATGGACTCTACATATTTATTTAAAAAAAAAACTGAAAATGAAAGAAAAGGTTGGAAATGATGGAGAATTTAACTGAAAATAAATGGTTGTGGAAATGCAATTATTATTATTATTATTATTTCGTCTGACGTAAAAAAAAATGCTCGATAGCCTTATGCTGGGTGCAAACTTTTTTACAGCGAAATCTAAGAGATTTTATGATGGAAAGACCCTCATTGGTTTGAGCTCCAAATTAGTTAAAACATAGAAATCAGTTGAGAAAGTGGGGATTAATCGAATTACAAGTTGAAGTAGAGAAGCGTAATCTTGACCAATCTGAAGTAGAGAAGCCTAATCTTGATTTGATCAGTTTCTTCCTAACATTGTTGACAGTGCCGGTTGATTTTCTAAGCAAAAAATACTTCTAAAACTACTGCAAATAGATCTAAAGATGAATTGAAAATACAGAGAAAAAAATAGAAAGAAGTTACATGGCAGGTCAATTGGCCCAGGACACTTGAAACTCATAATTGGAACTTGTATCATGACTGCGGGTTGTTTACACCATTGCCTTCTCTTTTCACATTGGAAATTGATTGAAATTTGACTAAGAAAGATTCAGTGCTGATATTTGATTTTTATAGGTTGTAATGGCCTAAATCTAGGGTTAGAGTTCACGCTCCTAGGTTCTAGAGTTGAAGGCTAACAGTTGAGAGAATGGTTTAGGGTTTCTCAAAAGTAGGGTTTGCTAGAATTACGGTTTTCTCTCTCTGGAATTGGGGTTGGCTAGGGTTCATAAATTTTCTCTCTCTTAATGGATGATCTCCCCCAAACGACCGGTTTTAAGCCTTTTTATAGAGCTCCAAAACAGTTTCTACGCACTTTGGATGCTTGTCGATCGTGTGCATCTCAAAATTTCAATCACATATGGTCAAAGCAAATAGACGACACGATTCATGCCATTTGGGGTCATTTTTTGTCCGGAAGATGTGCCGATTTTTGCCAATTTGCTTTCCGATATGATTCGTGTCGTCTAGAATTTTCTTAGATGACATAAATCATGTTGTCTGGATTTGGATGGAATTTTGTTAAACAAGCGTGTGGATTCATGCGATTCTTTGACCGTTGGAAAAATCTTGATCTCCTATTTAATTCAAAGCCAAAATTGGCCCAATTTGGATCCACTTTATGGGTCTGTAGGGCTAAGAATTTTGGGTATTGGCTCTAAGTTTCAAGGTGTCAGATCGATTTCCGAATTGATTTTTTAATGTTCATTACGCCCAGTACTATCTACGATGACTATTTAGATTGTTGGATAGTATTAATGTTTGGGTTTTAATTTCAAAAAGGTGACTAAGATCTATTAGATTGTTGTGGTCTCTAGGGTTTGGTCCTTAGGCTCAAGAACTTAGGAAAGTTGCTCATTTTAAAATTGGGTGTCTACGACATCATTAAAATATAAAATATTAAGACTAAAATCCATCTCTAAGATGGATTTTTATAAGCACACTGAATTTCAAAAGGTAAATCGGTTACAGTTGACGAGACACAGTAGCACTCTGGCCCTTCATAAAACCCCCAAAAAAAAATGGGAACTTGATGAAGGAACTGAAGAGAGAGAAAGAGCCTCTTGATGAAGGATCTCTAAAGAGAGATATCATCTTCATGAAGGAATGAAGAGAGTCAACTCCTCTTAATAAAAAAGGTAAGAGCGAAAAATTTAGAGAAAAAAAGTTCCTCTTGAAAATGGAAGCCAAAATAAATATCCTATTGAAAGAAGGACGGCAAGATATTACGAAATATTTGTCATTGCCAAAATAAATATCCTATTGAAAGAAGGACGGCAAGATATTACGAAATATTTGTCATTATGTGTGAAGAAGATGAAGAAACTAATGCTCACTTGTTTATTCATTGCCTTTCTACAACAAGAATTTGGGCTTGGTTTTTTGGAATCCTAGGAATCAGCTTGGTATCTCCTCACTTGCTGGTATCGTTTTGCAACTTTCTATTCCCCATCTTCCTAAATTTGGGAAAGTCATTTGGAAAATAGCAAAAAGTGTTATTTTGTGGGATGCATGGAGAGAGAGAAATAGAAAGACATTTGAGGAAAAATCTGTGTTTTGAGATATTACTTAATAATATCAAACTGAGATATTACTTAATAATATCAAACTGACTATCTGGGCATGGGTGTCAACGCACAAAGAAGGCTGGAATATCACAAAACTCACTATTTGGGCATGGGTGTCAGCACACAAAGAAGGCAAGAATATCACAAAGATTGATGTGATGGTTAATCTTGGAAACCTTTTTTACTTGGGAAGCCTAGCAATAGACCGCAAAGTATATGGACGTGCCACTAAGTGACTATCTAAAGTTAAACTTTGATGGCAGTTCTTTGGGGAACCCGGGGTATTGCAGGGATTAGTGGTGTTCTGCGTGACATATGTTGGCCCGATTGGAGCTAGAATAGTTAATTATGCATAATTAAGTGCTTTATTGTTTGGAGTGCAAGTCTTGATTGAGAGGAATCTTGGGAAATTTTGTTGGATTGAAGGGGGTTTTTTAAATGTTATCAAATGGTGCAACAAAGAACAAAATGTCCTTTGGGAGCTTCGTGCGGTTGCAAGGACTTGGTGGAGACCCTATATGTGTCCTTTGTATATAGTAACGCTAATTCCTTGGCAGATTCCCTAGCTAAAGGTCGGGTTACTTTACCTTCTATTGTTATTTCGAATGATGTAATCTTTTTCTATAGTCAGCAATAAAATCTCTTAAAGTTTGGTTAAAAAAAGAAAGAAAGGAAGGCAAGAACGAGAAAGACCTAAACAAATTATATCTCTTATGCTCTTCAATATGGAAAGAAAAGTAAAAAAGGACGGGTGGTCTCGATCAGCCGGTACGTTTGAGAGATTGATATTTTCACTTAATTTTTTAATCTACAATGTTTAGTAAATTTGCTTGCCATCTTACCAGTGGACATAGCCCTTTAGGCCAAATCACGTAAATCTTTGTATTTTGGTAATGTGTGTATTTTTCTACTTTAATTCTCATGCTCATATTATAGTCAGTAGTACTCACTAATTTTGTTTGTGCATGGTTACCTACACGATCCGGGGGGGTTTCCCTGGTTTCATATATAAGAGGGTTCTTAATTCCCAACACTATTTACATGCGTCCCTCTTTCAACAAGCCACTTTAGATACATTTCCACTTTAGATCAATTATGTTGCAGCTCAAAAAAATATATAGTTATGATGATCTAAAAAAAAAAATGAAATGAACAACAATGAATGATCTAAAAATATTGGGAGACTGATTAAAGATTTAGTAGGATATCACCACCTGTATTATATTAGTTGAAACTTGATTTAGTAGGATATCACCACCTGTATTATATTAGTTGAAACTTCTAAAGATTTGGATGTATTATATTAGCTATTTTATTGCACTTTCTAAAGATTTGGACTATCTCAATGCCTACAATCTTGGGATTATTGTAAACAAGTGTATATTTACCAACTTGAACTACTCAATGAAACATACGATTCTCCAAATTTTACAAAAAAACATTTAAAATAGTCTTTTTACAAAAAAACATTTAAAATAGTCTTTTTACAAAAAAACATTTAAAATAGTCTATGTTCAAAGTTTAAAATCCATTTTTTTAGATTCATTAGAATGCAAATTGAGATTACCAACTTGCACTACTCAATGAAACATATGAATCTCCAAATTTTACAAAAAAACATTTAAAATAGTCTATGTTCAAAGTTTAAAATCCATTGTTTTTAGATACATAAGAATGCAAATTGAGATTATCAAACTGTAATATTTTAAGTCTAAAATTCATTTCTAAGATGGATTTTATAAGGACAATGAATTGGAATAGGTACATCAGTTGCAGTTGAAGTGAGCTACTAAAACTCTATCCTTTTACAAAAGAAGAAAGTTTATTATAGAGTGCACCTTATATTGTATAAGTAAGATGCATATCACAAATTCAGTAGAACAGAGTGTACTGCAGCTGGAAGACTTTCTAATCGATCATTTTAACCTCGAGATGTAAGGAATAAAAGGAAAAAATCCTTCAAGTCTAAAAACAATGCATCTTGTAACAAGTTACCCAGACCGTCTGTTTTTCAAGATTTTCAAGTGTGCATAGACCTGCTTGATCTACACTATTTTTGGGATTTTCAATTTCATAACTAGGGTTGAATACAAATTTTAGGGCATCAAAAGGTTTCCAACACTGATACTACATCTCCAGACAAAATTCAGAAGCGCACCTTACATCTACACTAGGGTGCAATCTCACCCTTTAAAACAAATCCCAAAAAAATGGAAATTTGTATACTAGAGAAATTCATATGGCAAAACAAAGTTTTACCTTCTAATTCATATGATGGAATGAGGAAAAGAATAAAGAAATCATATAATGCAAGAGTAAAATCGACCTTTTTCTAGACATTTATACAACATTGCATACTATCCAGGTAAAAAATCATAATTAGCATTTCATGCTTGCTTGAGAAATGAATCTAAACTTACAAAGACATAGAAGAATAAACGAACAAAGACAGAGAGAGCATGGAAAATCGATTTTCAGGGATCTGCCACTTGAGTCATGTTGATCCATCTGAATTTGATACAGATTCTCCTCCATTCATATTCTTCGTCTCTTTCAGAAGGGGAGAAACCAATTTCCATACTGATTGAAAAGAAAGGTGGCACCATTAGTTCAACTCCATGAAGTTTGAATATAAAATATAGATGGATAAGAAAAATCACACTAATGGTAATGGGAAAGCAGCTTTTAACATTCTAATAATTAATATATCACAAGTTAAGAAATTTCATTAATGCATGCAAAGAAGAAATACACATACCACACTGCTACCATACAATGCAGTTTTTGACCTTTTTACAATGCATTGGACATTTAAGACTTCAATCCATATACTTTTTTTGTAGTCGAAGTTGAATATCAAAAAACTTTCAATAGTAGGGAAACCGGAACAATACCAGTAAACTAAAAGGCGATATCAGCTGAAACAAATCTGTTTAGTAAACTTCTTTTCCTCTTTTCATTTTTCTTGTTGCCGGATTCTTATAAAGTGTGACAGTGAATGTACTAGTTTTCTATGACTACTATATATTTATTGAATTAGTTAGCTAATTGTGGCTAGAAAAGAATTGACCCAGCTGATACCAGAAGAAATTTTATCCTAGAATGCTTAAGATGTCACTTTGTGAAGTTTGTATCCAGATACTCATGCAGCTTGATTGGGTACTTTTGCTAGGTTTGAGATGTGTTCATGCAACGTAGTGAAAATAGAGCTATGTCCATGCAATATGCTCATGTATGAACGCTAAATGAATAAGGTGAAATATTGTGACTTTAATTTTTTTCCAAGGAAGAAATTTCAAGTCTCCAAACCAACGTTTTCTTACATGAAATTGCAGGATTCTGCCAGTACATCAATTAAATTAAATGGGAAAAAATACTTATGGAATTTTCAAATGGTAATTTTTTGGCTAGATTTTTATGACAGATATTGGTTGAAAGTTAATTAGAAGTCACTGCTCTCATGATCTACACATTGTTTAATGATCTTAAGATTGTTCTTAACTTTACTGATATTTTAATGGCTACCGACCTCACTCTGTTTGACAGGTCAATGGACTCCTATTAGTAACAAAAATATGCTGAGTCAATTGACGCTCATCCAGTGATTCAAAAAGCGGACCGCCTAGCGCCTAGGCAGTCCAAAAGGCTTGGGCGCATCGCCCAGGCCAAGGCGGCCAATCTGGGCGGCAGTCCTTGGGCGGCCGCCTAGGCGGTAAGGAACCTGCCTAGGTGAGCACCCAGCCCAGGGCGGCTGCCTAGGATCAACGCCCTGCCTAGGTGGTACGGAACCCGCCTAGGCGGCCGCCCCACTCAGAGGTAGAAATTTTTTTTTTTTAAAGTTGATAAAAATTGATCAAAACATCAACCATTGATATTAGATTTAATTTTTGATGTTTATAAATCTATTGGGGGGTTTTTTAGAAGATTTTGAGTCCTTAGAAGCATATTTGACTCGCCATCCTGTTTGGATTCGACTGGGCTGCCCAGGTTCTGGGCACCCGCCTAGGCGCTGGGTGGCCTGTACCCCCTAGCCCGCTTAGGACCCGCCTAACACTTTTTGAAGCTATGTGCTCGCCTATATGAACTTGAGTAGGAAAATTCAGGTCATCAGCAAATGAGATTATCAATCCAAGAGTTTGAGCACTTGGTGCTTTTGACTCCACAGAATGATGTGGAACACAAACATCTTATTGCATTGTGAAATGAAGATCAATGTGGAAGCTAAGGCTAGTGAGTTAATTGTGTAGTCCTTGGAATTGCCTCACAGATTGAAAACATCTGAGCATCAGTGCTCCAAGGAAGTCTAATTGCTTCTTCTCAGACATCATGTTTTGGTAATGCAAAATGGCATACTTATGGAGTAAGAAAATAGATTGCTAAGCACTTGTAAAGAATTTTGACAAGTCATTGATGATTGTCTCGGTATGAGAAAAATACATTAGCTGATTTGTGTTTCTCAAGTTTTGGATCATTAGCTCTAATGCATCGCATCATATGGCTAGTGAGTACTGATTGTTCCACTTGAATAAAACTTCAGTTATTCATGCAAGGAGAATATCAGTACAGTAGGTGGCAGCTCTCTTGAAAATTTGGGATTTAGTTCTTTTTGTGTTCAATGGTCTTGATAAAATTACTTCACTATCTAAAGCTTTTCTGTGTTTTTAAATTGACCATGGACCTTACTTCTATTGGACAGCATGGTGACAACAACTATCAAAGTTTCTACTTATAATCATATGTTCCAGGAAACCACCAAATAAAAATCATTTTTCCAAATCTAGACTAGAATCCAGCGGGTGATACATGACAAGTGCGAAATTCAAGATCTAGGACCCAAAAACAAAATACGATTTCATGAAAAATGATTTTGTCTTGTCCTTTTGCCATGTGTTATGGTTATTCATCGACAGTTGCAGAGCTTTCGTTACTCTTGGACCAATTTTACAAGCTTTAACCATGATATTCAAGATATCAAACCAAGTAATCTTGAATGAAAGATTACCAATAGGGGCTTGACCTCATTACATATTCACAGACAAGAAAGAAGACACAAAAAGGCGAAACGAGCAGCGGAGTGCGTTCGTGACTCATTGACGATGATGGCTTCACTAGAGGTAGGACGGCTGAGCAGCTCGTAGAGCACTTGAGTTTTTTGGGTCTTTTGTGATGGTTTGAAGGTTGAGGAGGACAATCCGAACTGATTTTAGAAAGGAGCAAAGTACAATTGCAAGGGCATTTTAAATATTTTAGATATTCAACCAAAATGCATCAATAATCTAGAATTAAGGGTTTTTATGTGCTTCTTAGTTAACTCTGACTTATTAGTTTGAAACATCTAAGCTGAAGTGGAAAGCTTTGCTATCCAAGTCTCCTGTAATCAAAAGCCACTTCACTACTATAGGTTGAGACCACAAATACATTATCTAAGATTCTTTATTTACAGTTTCTGCCATTTGCTTTAATAACCAACAAGTCATGAATTTGTTGTTGAAGATGATCTTGTGGGCAATATCATTTGTCAAAGCATTTGTGAGGTGTACTCTAATTATGAAAAATGGAATAACAGATAAGATATAATTTTTAACAAACAGAAGTTAACAGCAGATTGTATACGACAAAATTCATATTGTAACGCATGTACTTTGGATAATTTAATTTTAAGAAAATATGTTATGTTTCTTTCACTTACAGTAGATGCTGGCAGCAAACCACTCATTGACGATTTTAACCCAGGTACTAGCCCAACCAACATCTATACTCCACCTGATTATAAATATCCATATATGTTATGATGATTTTGAAGCACAAGAGGAAAGCATAAGTAAACATAACACTAGCTACCCAACATAAGTTATCTTGATCACACAAACAAGTTTCTTACTTTTGCGTTGAGTGGTCTAGATCCCAATTGATCAATAACATCGAAAAGTACATAGCACCCAAAGAAAATACAATGTGGAAAAACCCATAATTATAAGGTATGCTGTCTTCCGACTGGATTCCAACCTTGCGAAACTGCATATATATCACACAAATACATGAGCAAAGGTATCAATATGTTCCATTGTTGCATTATATATTTCAGAAGCATTATAAAATTTAGAAAATTGAGAAGGAGATTATAACACTGTGACAATTTGAAGCATGGTTTATCCTTATGAGAAACTCAACTTCACCTGAAATGATTGTGAATCGATCCCTGTGGAAAAAGTCGCCATGACTATTGCAGAAATAGCAATTAGGAAGCTCTGAAATTTAGAGACACAAGGTATGAAAAAAAAAAGGAGATTTAGTACAACTTAACACAATCATCAAGTGTTCATAAAATACTGAGAAAACTTCAGCAACTGACATTTAGGATAGCAATGGAAAGAATTTTTATGAAAATAGGTTTAGATGCAAATGTTTCAATGTCACTATCAACTTACAAGTACAGTGGTCCAATCATTGCTTACAACCATTTCTTTCCGCATGCTGCATTGTTGAGCGTCAGGTTCACTGTTGATCCAAGTTTCACATCCAAGGAGCCAAGGCATTAGGAGAACTAACTCAGGGTAAAAAGTTATTTCTCGAAGGACTATTGTCTAAAATATTCCATCACTTTTATGCAGCAGTTGTCCACAATCCTTTGAAATTGGAGTACAACGTATGCTTTTAAAAAGAGTCAATCATATAATATTTCATTTACGAGCATTACACTGCACCAAATAGAACCAAGGAACAAACTAGGTGTACTGAGGTTTTAAAAATCGACAAACCGGACCAGAACTGGCGGGTTTGGATCGGAATCATTAGAGCCAGTCTGGTTTTGCCTAAATATCGAGAACCAGCAGGCTGGTTCTTTGACAGAACTGGCCACCAGTGAATCTGTCATAGAACTGCTCCCACTTTATTCTTTAATATTTTCTTTCATTTTTTTTTGTTCCCTACTTCTTTTTAATTTTTTATTCGTTGGTTCACTAGGTTGCGGAGGGTCAATCTGGGTCATTGAACCGTGTTTTCAAATCATGAGTTGTATAGTTCTTATAGTAACATGTGAATACCTCCTTATAGCAGACCAACACAAGAAGACAATGTATGCCCCCATAATTCCAGAAGACAAAAGACCTGTGTTAACCTGCGATGAGCATCCCAGAAGGAATAAATAAAATAAATATTGTGTGAAATCTATACATTGCAAAAAGTAGAAAACTACATTCCATAACCTTCTATTTATTGGTATATTAAGGATTAGACATTGAAATTAATGCTATAGCCTTCTTTTTTTTTCTGGGTGAGTACAAAAAATTTTGGGTAGGTAGTGCTACATCCTTCTTCAAGGCCATACTACCTAAGAGTCCATACTAACAAATGATCTAGAATTGCCCTTTTTTGTTTTACTTGATACAATATAAAACATTCCTCTTCATATTAAATTGATAATACCAGTTATGCCAATTCAAATGTTAAATGATTCACGATATCCCATCAGGAAATATTCAATGGCCTGAACATAGAACTTTCACTTCACTTCATTGAAGGCAACATAATATATTAAGAACCTCTTACTATTACATTTGCAAAGAAGTTATCTAATAAAATCGAAATCTTGAATTTTTGCACTATAATCAAATAATTCTTTTAATGAATAATGCATGAGACAAACATATAAAACCCAAGAAAACAAAATTCCACAGTACCGAGCATGCAAAGCTCCAAGCAGTATGATAGAAAATAAATTCCAGATTTATTGTTTGCTAAATGGGAAGAATTACACACACAGGAGAAATGAAGCGGGAAAAGCTAGAAAATGAATCTACTAGTCTGCAAATGTAAGAAATAGATAAAATAACATACCTTTGAATGTAAGGCCACTATCATCATTACAAGAAGTAAAACAATCGTCCAAGAGATAAAAAATATGTTGATGGGACAGGCTGTTCCTCGAACGTATTTCAAAAACATCACTAGGATTCCACAAATAGCAGCAATGTAGGCAACGGTAGATAAGAATAACCCAAAGAAGTAGCTGTAAACAAAGAAACAACACCAACATATTTATAATAGACGAAAGAATTGAGGGTAACATCTTTGTTAAAAAATACTACAAGGTTGAATCCAATTAGGAATTTATTTCTGCGCATTAAAAATATAGATTGAATTAACTTGCTCAAACACATAGAAAATATGAACATTGTTTAAGACCATTGAAAATGGTAAGTTAGGAAATTAATTTAAGTTGTTACAGAGAGAGGATATCGAGATATTAGAATATGGTCCATATAATTACACTTTCATTAGGAGTTTGAGATGTATATTTACAAGTAGCTGAATACTATATTTAACGGTACCAAAAAATTACTTCACAGAGTTTGGCTACTTCACTTCAACAAAAACTAGCTACACTGATGAGACAAAAATAAAATTTATCTTTTTTATGATGACTTCAAGGACACAAGGTCTTTGTACAAACTGAAATGTACCATAAGATTAAATTTCTCAAGCTATTAACTGTAAAAGAAAAAGACTAAAATTATTAAATAAAAGAGCAGTACTACCCTTTAGAGTAACAGTTCTTACACATGGTTCGCACTTGATATGATATCACATACATATGATCCCAAATCTACTACATCACTGATCTAAAGTTTGGACAAGAAGAAAATGGGAATTGGGGAAGAGTAATATGAACGACACAATGTCTTGAGATTTTTTGAATTGTACTGAGCAGAGTGGTTAACTACTTATGTTCAAAATTCAGATGCATAATTTTGTTCTTTTGGGAGAAGTCCAAAGATTCTAGGACATGCGGCTGTTTAAGAACACGTCTTTAAGGCTTTAGTTACCACATGAAGATCCAAATATTTCATTCTGGATATGAAAAGCTCAACTACACTACTTACATTTACAGGTTTGAGCCTAGAATGACTCAAGGGTTTTGTGGTTCTAGTCATAAGACATCGTCATCATCATTCGAGCCTTATCCCAACTATTTGGGGTCAGGTACATAAATCATGTTCTGCTATTCTACTCTATCAAGGGCCATAGCCTAAGCAAGACCATAAGTTGCCATTCCGCCATTTTGTTCTATGTTCTAGTCATGGAACATGATTATGGCAAATGAATTAAAGGATGGTTCGATTTTTCAGGTGCATCTATCCTTCTCGCAAATTAAATAATCAATACAAGAAGATCAACACATATAAGAGATGGTGAACAAATATAATAGTGCACATTTGTTCCAATTGAGCATTGTAAATAAAGTATGTCAGCACCATTACATGGAAAACCGTCCAAACCTTTGCTTCAATTTCTCATTACGCATCCAGTAACTATCGCACCAGTTGATAAATTGTATCACACTTACAAGCTGGACTACTAGGAAAACCCTGAAACATGAGAATAACAAATATGATCCTTGCCACAGTTTCATCTTTTAGAAATTTTTAATGTCATCAAATTCTTAAATAATATTACGTCCCGTCTGGAAAGAAGACCGAAGCATAGTACAAATTTAAAAGGATTTGTAAATTTATAGTCTATATTTGTACCATAATACAAGTTATCTTATGCTAAGAAGTCTCGCTCCAACCATACAGAGTATAGCTATAAGTACAAGGTAGAGACAACATGATTTTGCAAGAAAAAATGTAAATAATGAAAGCTGAATTAAATTAAAAAAGTTGATGCTTGGAAATCTGGATTAACTTATGTTGAAAATTAACTTTTAAAAAATTCTTCAGAGAAAAACTGTGAAAAGTTGTAGGAACAGAGAGGAACAACAAATCAAGATGGACAATTGAGTATCCCTAATATTTGAAAAATCAATGGAGACACTAACAGATTCATGAGCTTTAGAGATTAATGGAAAACATACCCGGCCCCAAATCGAGCAACTTCTCCTGCAACCAAGAAAATTACCATTCATTATGTATGGCATTAATTTTCAAATGGTCACTAGTGAGATTGGCTTTAAAGGGACAATATACCATTATACAAATTAATACAACAAAGGGGCATCAGGCATCAATTTCGGATGACAGACAGTAGAGACTAGCTGTACCAGGGTAAGTATCACCATGGACCACTTTACAGTTAATATCCATCATCAATTTGGCAAGAATAGATGGTGGATGCCCCATGGATTAAGGTGTAACATATATAGATTAACAATCGATTTTCAAGATGGGTAAGTATAGCAAGACAATAGCATGTACACTTGATATTTTAAACTTCAGGTTTGAACTCAACAATTTAATGTACTGCTACCATACCATATAAGTGAATTGAAGCTGAGGGAATAAAGAATGAAGCCAACAATGATGCGATCAACAGGATACATTTCAAACTCCACCACCCAGTATGCCAGAAGTTGCATGATTCATGGAACTTTGTTATCCTAAATGTGGTTATGAACATAAAAAAGAAAAATATCTGAACCTCTGTCAAGGAAGAGATTCCATACACTAAATCTGTCATGAAATTGAAGCCTCTAGTGCTTACTATTAATATTATTGCCTCATAAAGATACAAAACATCCTAAGCTTATGCGGAGAACTCCTTCAGCGTGCAAACATTCCTCTCCACCTTGGCATCCTTTAAGGTCTGCCACACAAAGAAAAAAATCCATTATCAAAACATCTCATAGGCCTGGGCCGTCAAAACTCAAAATTGAGCAAAAGACGTAAAAGTTCAAATGAGATCAAGGGAGAAGACCAGTTGTGCACATGAGAATGCCACTGACAAAGGAACGAGTGAGTGCACAAAAAAAAAATACAAATATTTTCTCCAACGGAATAAAATTACAAATATTAAGACTTCCCTTCAAATTAATATATGGCAATCACAAATCAATAAATTTTGGGACTAACAGCTCATATCCCAAAAGAAAAATCTAAAATTGAAGGATTTGGGCACAATAAATTACTATTTATACTCAATAAAGTGATAGAGAAGGAAAGCATTACAGACTCTAGACATGCCAACCTCAAAGCAGTGAAAAGATTGAAATTCTTCTTGTTGAAGGTACATATATAAATTTCTTTTGTGAACATACATGTGCATCGGGATAAGTGAAGGGTTATATCTGGATTTTGTACTGCTGATTAATAATATGTGCATGAGAATTCCATATCCTATAGTAGGGTTTCTATGCTATTACCATTGCTAGACTCAAAACACTTGGGATCAGAAACCATGACCTCTATGTTTATGCCTGTAGATTATCATGTTTCTACAATGGAAATCAGTCTAATGAATATTATCAGCATCAGTAAACAAAAAGGAAATAATCTGTGAGACCCAGTAGCTAATATGCCCCTTTAGATAATTGCAAAGACAGAGCACAACATCCAAGCAAGTCCTTCATGGTTAAACAAAATACAAAAGCCAACAAGTCATAAGGAAAAAAATACTTAAAAAGGAATTGATCTCAAATTCGTCACAAGAAATACTGTAATGATACAAAACTTGAAAGTGATCAATACAACATATCCTCAAATATGCAATCTGTGCAAAGATGCTTTTATTAGTTATTAACTCATTAGCAAGTTTTAAAGCAATCAGTGCAAAACTGCATCAATTGTAAAACTGCGCTACTTGTACAAGCTTTTGAAATCAAAATAGTAAAATTGTATTAGCGTCTTTCAAATTTGATAAGCAATGGTAGCCAGAAACAGCTGGGGAGCGCAGGAGAATCCTTAATATCGCATAGAGAAAAATGCCCAATGTAAAAAATCCTGACACCTAATATTTCATTAGCCTTACTTATGTACCTGTAATCCAGACTTTTTAAGGATACCCATATTCATTTTCCTATCAGTTAAATACAATTTCCAGAAAAGGGCCATCTACAGTGAAATGACAAAGTAAAATCTCCCTCATTGCTCCAGGGGAAGTGACAAAGCTCCCTTACCAAATTTCATAAAAGTTACACAGATATGATACGAGAACCAAAGTTTACAATGCAAATTTTTCAGCTACCAAGCTTAACTGTTCAAACAAACCATGTTTATAGCACAGAGAAACAAATGAAAATAATAAAAAAGACAAATAAAAGATGGTGAGAAAAGGGGACCAAAAACTTTTCCTAAAATAATGGCATAAGAAAGTAAACAGAAAGCAAAGGAACATACATCGAAGTTCAGTGAGGATTCCATCACCATAGTCCCGAAAAAACCAAGCCAATAGGTTTGTCAAAAGGAATATAAACCCATATACATATCGAGCTCTCAGTGATGCCTTCCTTTCTGCTGGATAATTAACAGAGTCGGGCTGAGCCAGAGATTGTTCCCATGAAACCAACTCCAAGTTCCTTCCATTTCCTTTGTCAACTTCCTTTTTTGACTCACTCATTCTGCCAAATCAAAGAAACTAATATAGCTAATAACCCAAATTTCAACAAATTGTAGTTGGTTATTTCTCTCTGTTGAGAAATCTATTGTTACACCATGACATTTGCAACTCATTACTTAGTCATATAACCATAGATTTATTTTGATTGAAGCCTCAATTTATACTAGACAAACCAGACTTGAAAATGGATTAGAGAAAACAAATATGCAGACTCATCCAGAAGAGATTTTTCAAAGACCAGTAATTGTTACAACTATGTGCCAACGGAATGACTGCCCAGTACTCCACAATTCAATATATGGAAATGGGATTACATGTCAAGAACTTTAAGCTGAAACATACCCACCTTTTAAATAATACCCACCAAAAATAGTAGAAAGAGAGACCCAACAACTAATTTAGCCTCAGAGAGAGAGAGAGAGAGAGAGAGAGAAATGCAGGTCCAACCAGCAGAGGAAATTCAAAGAATTGTGAAGTTAAATGAAACTCTTATGACCGACAATCAATGTGAAAACTGGAATGGACAAAAAGAATGCAGGTCCAACCAGCAGAGGAAATTCAAAGAATTGTGAAGTTAAATGAAACTGTTAGGACTGACAATGAATGTGAAAAATGGAATGAAAAAGAAGATCCAATAAAAGAGTAAAAAGAGATAATCCTTTCTTTGTGAAATATTAAAAGAACCAACGTACATTTATGAATGATGTGATGGTGTAGAACTGGATTAGCAAGTTTTCTTGTTTTGCTGCAACTCAACAAGCATACCCAGTGAAGCAGCTTTTATTGTTTTTGCATTCTTGTTTTGAATCCTATTGCCTGCTCTTTTTGTTGTCTCCCGTTGTTTATGAAGTGTTTAATACTTTAATGTAAGCTAAGAACTTGGAATGGCAAAATATAAAGCCAACAGTTTTCCTTAAAATTTCGGAAATACCCCCTGAAATGATAATCATGTCCCCGAATATGCTGTACTGTACTCAATGATAAAACTCAAAAAGACAAATAGGTATCGTATTGTTTGATCGGTGATCGTTGGATCAGTGATTTGTATTGGGTATGAATCCAATCGTATAAGTGATCCAAACAATGCTATTAAATAAATATAAAAAGTTAAAATATGAGTTTATGAGGTGGCGATTTAAAGGACCTATGGAGATATTAGATAAGCTTACTAAAAAAACAAAACAAAAAGGAAATAATAATTCTATTTGGGGGAATTGAACCAAGACCCACACTATCCCAACACCAGTTCGGTCCCAACTGATTCTCAACTGGATTATTGATCCGGATCGAAAATTATTGGGTTTTAAAATCCTTATTTTAAAATGGTGGTGTTGGCTAAGTCTAGGCTTAAATATGAAGACAACCGCTTGAAATCGATGGCGGGTTGGTCCGGGTCTAGAGACTTTTCAAACTAGCCCATTTTCACCTATTCATCTTTTCTCAAGGTTACTGCAAAACCTTTTCGCCAAAAATTAGACATTTGACATCATCTTTATCATAGATTTTTTTCAACTACTAAGGGTTGGCTAAACAAATCTTGCTCCACTATTATGCTTTTCCAAAGGTCATACTTCAATGAGATCATAAATCCATGTATATTTTCTCACTACTTCCACCACGTCCATTTGGGCACTACCTCTTTCTTTTTTTTAGTTTTCCACTTGAATTAACTCACATAAAAAATCAGCCGTTTGATATACTCATTTGTAATAGTTTTGTTGGTGGCTATTTAGTAGGGTAGTCCAAGTATTAAAACAAGGAAAATTGTTTAATGCGGGCTAGACCGCATGACTACATATGCGATCCAAAGAGTGTACAACATCCATCTTAAAGATAAAACAAGTAGATGTTCTATCTAAAACAAAGAAAAATAATGGTCCAAATGTTTTCTTACTATAATTATGATTTTTAATTTTTTAAATTTATTTATTTATTCATATTCATGATCTCCATATTAGACATTACATATCCTTAAAAATTAAGTCAAAAAATCATTCTCAAAACTAGATTTATTAAGAGGCTCACATGGCCGCATAGAAGCGAGGTCCTTCAAACAATGATTCCACGCACATTAATAAAAAAAAGTGTAATTAATAAAGAGTCAACAAAATTCAGAAAAAAAAAAAAAAAAGTCAACAAAGCTACGACCCGTTTTTGGCAGTAATATTGTGAAAATATGGCGTAATGATACTTTTGATAATTCACATTGAACCGGAGCGGATTTCGTCCCGCCATTTTACGAAGATAGTAAGATGCTCTTTGAGATTAAGCAGTCAGAGAGTAGACGACAAAGATGAAAGGAAAGAGGGAGAGCCCACCCTACTCTCTATATGTCACAAGAACTCTTGAGAGAGAAAGAGCCCACCTAGAGAGAGAGCCCACACTACAAAAAGCATACCATACTGAGAAGAACTCTAGAGAGAGAAAGAGAGAGGGAGAGCCCACCCTAGAGAGAAGAAGGGCCCACCCTAGAGAGAGAAAAGAGAGAGAGAGAGAGAGGCCAGTCCGTTTTGGAGTGTGTGTATGAGAACGCCGTTCACCGCGTTTGTGGATAGGTTGTTGGGGTTAGGTTTCACGCGTTTGAATAAAGAGACCGTTGGAGTGTCTTGCACTATCATGTTGAAGTGGGCCACAAGTCAAAAAAAAAAAAAATCCGAGATATTCTACTGTCGTAGGAGTAGAATATCTGTTTACTCACTAGCGAGTTTAAAAAGCCGAGAGATAATCGACTATTACTTCCTCATGTAAAACCCCACCTAGAACAAGTTTTAGGGATCTCGAGAGTTAAATTAAGAAACCAAGCTCTCTTATGTAAATGTAAATGTAGGGATCTAGTGAGGAATTGGGATGGAAATGTAGTTTTTACTTATGCAGATCCTCTTGGAGAGAAAACAGTAAACTATGTTGAATTCTTGTTCTCTTTCAGAGTTTAAAACTGTTTGTAGGAAGAAATTTAGTTCCATTTTATATTGTTGAAGGTGATTCGTTAAATATCATTAAATAGTGTAATGGGGAGCAGAAGTCGTCTTGGGAGTTGAGATTTCTCTTTTGTGCATGTTTATTGGGATGCCAATGTGTTGGCGGATTTTCTTGCTAAGGGTGGCAAGTTTTTAATAGAGACATTTGTCTCTGATTCTGTAATATCCTTCTAATTTCTCTATAATAAAATTATTGACTTCCGATAAAAAAAAAAAATTTCTTATCTAAATGGTGGTGGCGGAGTCCTTTCTTTAAAGATCAGTTATGGTTTAAAGTTTTGACTGCAAAACATGGAATAGATAAACAGGGCATGTGGCTAGGAGTTGGTAGGGGTGGAAATGCATCTTTCGTTTGGAGATCTATTGCTCTTTGCAAACCTTTCATCGATAGAAATATTAGATGGATAGTTGGTGACGGATCTCACATCTCCTTTTGGCACCATAAGTGGGTTGGGGACTGTACTTGGAAACTCTTATTTCATGACTTATTTGAGAAGGTAACAAATGCCAAGGTTGTTGATATTTATGAAGGAGTGGGGGATCATGTTTTCTGGAATGAGCTTACCGTATAACAAGCTAAGTGATAATCATATTGTGCAACTATCTTCTCTCTTGGAAATGTTGAAATGGGTTGACATTCCGATTGCCTCGGATGATGCCTCGGATGATGAGGTTATATAGGAGGAGGGAAGTGATGGTGTGTTTTCAGTTAAGTCTTGCTACAGACTTATCTTTTATGATCGGTGGAGGAGGGCAATGTCACAGTTGTCTCAAATATAGAAATGGCCGGTATCTCATAAAGTTCAAAATTTTATTTGGCTTGCAGCACAAGATACGATTCTCACTATTGATAATCTTATCAAGAGAGAGAAAATTCTTCTAAACATTTGTTTGATGTGTAAGGAAGACGCGGAATCTAGGCCTCACCTTTTTCTTTATTGCCATTTTGCTGCGAGAATTTGGCATTGGTTTTTGGTTGTGATGGGTATTAGCATGCTTCTGCCTCAAAATGTGGCTGGTATTGCAACAAACCTTTCCATATCTAGTATACCAGAGGTCGAGAAGCTATTTGGAAGATAGCTAGGGGTGTATTTATGTGGGAAATTTGATTGGAACTTAATAAACGTACTTTTGAAGGAGAGTGCCTTCCTTTGAAAGGATCCTTCTAAAAATCAAACATTCCCTATAGCGTCAACAAAAGAAGGATGGAGAATATCATAGGTGGATGTTCTAATACATCTTTACAATTTGATTTCTTTGAGACCGGCAAGGATCAGGCCTAAGATCGTGTGGTGTCCACCTCCGCCTGGTATGATAAAGTTAAATTTTGATAGGAGTTCACAAGAAAATCCTGGGGTGATAGGTATTGGGGGAGTTGTTTGTGATTCCAATGGTGTTGTTCTTCTCTCATTCGCAGATCCAATTGAAGAAGCCACTACTAATTTTGCTGAAATGGCAGCTCTTCTACAAGATTTAAAATTTCTTCATTCTAATTTTTGGGGCAGACCTTGTGTTGTTGAGGGAGATTCGCAGAATGCTATCAAATGGTGTAAAAAGGAGATGAGGGTTTTTTGGAAACTCAAATCTCTTTGGCTTCAAATCCTTAGTTTCTACATGTTTTTAGGGAAGCTAATTGCTTAGTTGATTCCCTTGCCAAAGGGGGTGCATCTCTTTCTTCGCTTTTTGTTTTGATGGTGTAATCACGTTTGGGTAACCACTTTTTTATTAATATTTATGATCTTCGTCAAAAAAAAAAAAGGTATATAATCTCTTCAATCCATTGATTAACTAACCTCAATAAAAAAAAATAAGAAAACGTTCCTAATTGTATCATCTGTGCACTTAAAAAAGACCATATCTCGATATTGAATAGAGATCATCCAATTTTTAGATAGTGAGATCTAAGTGTTAGAAAACTCAATTTATTTTTATTTTTATTTTTATTTTTTTGAGAATAGTCATCTCGTAATACTTAAGTGGTTCCAGGAAAAGGGCTAGGGTCATAGTGGTAGCATCCCCACACCTAGTCCCCACATTGTGGTTTCAATTCCCACTACCAACACCACCCCACTAATACATTAAAAAAGTTAGCTGCTAATCTATTTGAAAAAACCAAGTAGGGGCATATGTCTTTCCCATTGAATTATCCAATACTAATAATAATAATAATAATGGTTCCCAAAATAGGTAGGGGCATATGTCTTTCCCACTGAATTACCCAACAATAATAATAATAGTTCCCAAAATTTCAAATTGAAAGAATCCTTCCAAGTAGGTCTTTGAATTAAACCAAAAAAAAAAATTAACGGTTCCCAAAATTTCAGATTGAAAGAATCCTTCCAAGTAGGTCTTCTAACCGAGGGAGTAGTTTAATTATACTTCTGAGGAAGCACAGTTTGTATGCTCTAAAAAAATAAGAGTTAATTACGTACGGACCCTATATAAGTAGGAAAAATACGGTATGCTCCTTTTATATGCAAATATTACAACCAAGGTCAGTAAACCCAAATTTTATTTATTTTTTGACAAAATTAGCCTTCGGTCCGAAGATATCATCCTCATACTGCATTTTATTTTATTATTATTATTATTTTCCATTAGTAGGGCAGTGCCCAAAGGCTTGGGGCACTTCCCAGG